GAATCATATAACTGTACTAATGTTATTTGTTCAAATAAAAAATACACATTGGTCAAAAATAATTGTAAAAAGTTTGTTGTATGGGCCATCAGCTGTCCTAATTTCTAAAGAAATTGCATCAACCACAGAAAAACTCCAATCTGTCATGTACTACTTTATTCATATACTTTCTTCTATTTTTTCTACTTATTTTTCTAAGGGATTTATGTACAATTTGGATAAAAAAAAGAATGTAATAATTTTCTCACGTGTGGCTGTATATTTTAAAAAGATGGCAATAACAGATGAAACATATTGTTACCTAAACATATTATTTTGAAATTAATACCAGCTTCACGTATTTCAGGGGACTGGAAAGGTAGTATATATATTATATATTTTATTTTTTTTATTAATGATGTTAAATCAGGTTGGTTTCTCACAACACTCTGATACAATACTGGCACCATATCACTAGATGGCGGTAGTGAACACTGAAGCCATTCTGAGTTGAAAGAAAAAAAAAAACACAAACAACCACAAGAAAACCACAAAACCAAGATGGCTGTGCAGGAGACAGCATCTCAACTGTCCATGGCTCTCAAAGTACAAGAATATCCCACCCTGAAGGTAAACAACACTGAAACTGACAGTTATCGATAGTCTAGCGTTTAAAATGTTACCAGAATGCATGATGCTGTTTGGAAAACCGGAATTGTTAGCTTGTCAGATAGCGAAGACAGGAACTTAGCTGGGAGGCTAACGTTAGCTGAGCTAGTTCAAGCAGGTTCATCAGTTACCTGGACATTTAAAGAAAAGATCACGTAGTTGAATGCGTATTAATAAATAGTATGTATTACTTTAAAAAATAATTAATTTGCGTTTCTTGTTAGCTTTGGGGTGTCAAAAAAACTCGTCTGTCAACTTCGGTTTAGCCTTTGTGTTTTAAACAGGTGAACATGTCATTTAACACAGAATATGGCTGATGTTTAAGATGCGATTGRACCTAAATGCTACGCTACTGTGAATGTTTTATTGTATTGAATATATATGTATTCGTGTGTATTTTTAAATCACGTGTTATCAAAACCACAGACCAAACCGAGCCTGAAAAAAACATGGTTGCTCGTCCTTTCAGGGGAAAAAAAAAAGCCGTCAAAAGAAATGGCATGCAGACGTGATTAGCCTGCTAACGTTAGCTCCTAAAGTGCTGTTGGCCATCTTTGCGTCTGTCAACTCGAGCAGCCTACCCGATATTAACGTCGAGCTGGACCAGACTGGACGGACGTGTCCTCGGACGCTGCCTGTGTTAGGAGCGGTCCTCGTCTGTGTGAGGGTCTTTTTTTTTTTTTTTTTTTAAAGCGCAGTGTCATCAGATTCCTGCCGCCTCTCTCTGCACTTCAAAATGGCCAGTGGGAGAAATCACAGCCGGCCGCCGCACACACGCGCTCTTCCTCCATGATTCCACATATCGCCGCTGCGACGCCACCGCTGCCAGACGAGCTCGAACACGTCCGGGCTGCTCGTCGTCCTACCGAGCCCAGCCGTGAGTATCGGTGTGTTTGGCGGCGTTTGTGTTGTGGCTGGTTGCGGGGGATGCCGCCGGTGCTGGATGTAACGGGTCGGTTCTGTGTGCTGAAATGCACGGCCGTGGTGGTTCGGGGGGATGTGTCTGCTGCAGGAGGAGGATGATGGGCACCATTTTAAGACAGGACTGATAGTTATAATTGGCATCAAATGTGAGTCATCCATAGAGCAGAGCAGTGGTTGTTAGGTTTGCCTTTATTGTGCAGAATAACAAAAATGTTGCAGTGATGCCTGACACCGACGTGTGAACACCTTTAATCTGTATTGCTATTAAAAGACAGTATGTGCTGGAGATTTGTCCTTGTGGATGTCAGATCAGTTCATACTTAAAGGGGGAAAATTATGCAGGTTTAAAAAATGACCTATTTAAATGCATAAGTAGGAATGGATATTTGATTATCACTATTGTTCAGTTTTGGGCAATTATTTGCTAGATGATACCCCAATGTAGGCCCCTTTGCAACCTGGCATTGCTATATTGCAGATTTACATAATTCAGACCTTGTGTGAGTGACCTGAGACAAGTATTTGTTGCAATTAATGTTATTAATACGACCAACAATGTGAAGGTAGTAGTGCTCTATGTGTTTCTTGAAGTCATATATATATATAT